AAACTTCATCACGAGACTATGGAGACCCTAAGGAATAACGCGATGATGGTGAAATTTGATTTTTCGAAAAAGAATTTCTATTTATCTCGGACAAGAACCAAAAAAAGGCATTTTTTTTCGAAAAATGAAATTTCACGAGCACCACGTTCTTCCTTAGGGCCTCCATAATCACGTGTTAAAGTTTCAGATAATTCGGCGCGCCCAGTTTGAAGAAAAGTTTTATAAATATTTTGACATTTTATATATGTGCCCATAATTATGAAAGTGGTCTAAGTCATATATTTTTTGTTTCGAAATTACATTGAATTAATTTAGTTTGAAATAATGTGGCGTGAAATAACTGATAAACTCATTTTTTTTTCAATTTTGACTTAGACCATTTTCATAATTATGGGCACATATATCGAATGTCGCTTTCATATCACCTTAAAGCTTCTTGAAATATTTTCTGCATGATTACTGTACACGTCTTTCGCGTGCGGCCTGACGGACGTTATTATACATTTCTCTATCGTATTATAGAAGGCGAACAGAATTTAAGGTGATATGAATGTATCATATGTACATACCAAGAAGTCAAAATATATATAAAACTGTACTCTAAATTGAGTGCACCGAATCCTTTCAAACTTCATCACGAGACTATGGAGACCCTAAGGAAGAACGCGATGGTGGTGAAATTTGATGTTTCGAAAAAGAATTTCTATTTATCTCGGACAAGAACCAAAAAAAGGCATTTTTTTCGAAAAATGAAATTTCACGAGCACCACGTTCCTCCTTAGGGCCTCCATAATCACGTGTTAAAGTTTCAGATAATTCGGTGCACCCAGTTTGGATAAAAGTTTTATGAATATTTTGACGCTTTATATATATATATATATGCTTTATATTTATATACGCTTTATATTCATATTTATATATATTTTGACGCTTTATATATAATGACCCTTCCATATCACCTTAAATTATCAGTCAAGAAAATTCGACGCGATGGTTTTTCACTCGCTCAGTCCAGAATTTCCCATTTACGAAGCAATGTACAATTAACGCGTAAGTGACGCTCCTGAGCATAGATAAGAATCCGTGCAAAATGGGACTAACGTCAGCGTGATTCATCGTCAAACGGTGCTGCATAACCGCGAAGAAATTCCGAAACGTGTAACGTTCGTGACATCCGTCAGGCTTATTATCAGCGAGGAGAATTCGACGTGATTCCCTCTCCCTCGCTCCGTCTAGAATTTCCCACCTACGATGCAATTAATATTTCACGTTTCCCGGCTGGCGGGTTTCCAAAGCAGCTCACGAGCTCGATGCGCGTCACTTGTGCTCCCGTTTTGTTATTCCCGCTTCTTTATTTATTTATTCCATTTCGCATAGGACCTGTCGTCACGGTCCGCACTTGGCTAAGAGCGGAGCATCTTCTAATTGTGCGTGAAGTCCGATGACGCACGTTCCGCCGAGGAGAGAACGACGTTCCCCGCCGAGGAAATTAATTTAAATCAAAGGCCTCTCCAAGAGACGTAAATTAAGGTGAAGTAAAACACGTCGAAGAATTAGATCGTCGTCGATAAAGATGATCCCTCGAAATGCCTACTTTGCCGACGTTCGTTTTTATATTGACAGCTGTGTTGGATTATATTGGGTATTGTACCAAATGGCATACTCCACCTGTCGTTTTCATACAATAATTATAAAGAAATCGAAGTAAAACTCCACAAATCTCATGGATTCATGGTTTTCGACGCCCAAATTGGTTACAGAGGACTCCCTGCGCCATCTATGATTTCCAGGTCAAGTAAATTTTCACTCCGAGACGTCGTATTACCATCGTTTTAGCATAGCAGCGCATGAGACTTTTTTTCGCCTTTATATCACTCAAATGCGAGTTTATCGATTACCAGAGTGTTCTAAACTGTCGTACAATTGTCTTGACACTGTCATTTTATATATTGACAGCTGTGCCCAATTATATTCAGTATTGAACTAAATGGTATATTCCACCTGTCGTTTTCGTACATTAATTATAAAGAAATCGAAGTAAAACTCCACAAATCTCCTGGATTCATAGTTTTCGACGCCCTAATTGGTTACAAAGGACCCCCTGCGCCATCTATGATATCCGTGTCAACTAAATTGTCATCCCGAGACCTCATATTCCCATCGTTTTAGCATAGCAGCGCATAAGAGACTTTCTTCGCCTTTATCTCGTTCAAATGCGAGTTTATCGGTTACCAGAGTGTTCTAAATTGTCGTACAATTGTCTTGACACTGTCGTTTTATATATTGGAGCTTTCAATAATTGCATATCGATCAAAATATGAGAGCTCGACGTCATTTTAGTTCTGGTCCGCGCTAAGTTAAAAAATGCGTTTAAAAAATCCAAATTTTTAACGTGTCAGGATAATTCCTAGATGCTCACGAGTCATGTGTGTCAAAGTTTCAGATAGTTCTATCCAATACCCTTAAAAAAAAGTGTTGTATTTGAATCGACTGATTTTACGGGGATTTCACTTCACCTTAAGGTGATTATTATTAACAGAGTATTCTAAATTGTCGTACAATTGTCCTGACACTGTCATTTCACATATTAGAGACTTCAATAATTATATATCAATCGAAATATGAGAACTCGACGCCATGTTAGTTCTGGTCTACGCTAAGTTAACAAATGTGTTTAAAAAATCCAAATTTTGAAAGTGTCAGGATAATTCCTAGGTGCCAAGGAATCATGCATCGAAGTTTCAGGCGGTTCGGTTCAATATCCTTAAAAAAAAGTGTCTTATTCGAGTCGACTGATTTGAAGGGGTTTCACCTCACTTTAAGGGGATGTGAAAGTGGCATCCAAAAGCTCAATCGTTCATAAAACTTTTCTACGAACTGGGTGTCTCAAATCGTTTCATACTTTAAAACGTGAATATGAAGACCCTAAGGTAGGTCCTGAAACTCGAGAAATTTCATTTTTTATAAACTATTTTTAAAATATCCATAAACAAATTTGAAAATAATGGAAATTTCATGAGTTTCAGGACCTTCCTAATAGTTTCCCTATTCACGTTGTAAAGTTTCAAACTATTCGGTGAACCGAGTTGGGAGAAAAGTTTTATAAACAAAACCTCTTCGACGCCACTTTCACATCACCTTAAGTACAGGGAATGACTTTGAGATAGGAACTCGCGAAAATGATTTAATCGATAGGAATTGGCACATTTGGTGTCGCGAAATCTCAACGGAGTATCAATCTTGACATAACATTATCGAGCTTGACATTAAGGTGAAGTGAAACCTCCCTCAAATCAGTCGATCGGAATAAGACACTTTTTTAAAGGAGTATTAAACCGAACAGTCTAAAACTAAAAAATGTTATCTTAATTCAAAGAATAATTATTTTACTCAAAAGAACTCGAATATATTGGACGTGGAATTATGGCTATTATTGTTGTTGTGGCAATTTATTTTTAGCAGTATACGTTTGTAGGAAAATTTCTCTAGAATAATTCCGTTCCTTTAATTTCAAGTCTTTCTGAAAGCTAAATAGATCTAATTAATTTTGGTTAATTCGTTAGATATAATTAGTTAGGTCTGTAATGGGGAAGATAAGATCTCTTTGGTTCCGCCTGGGGAACAAGAAGCGGTTTTTATTTGGATTTCAAAAAGTAGAATATTCATATCCAAGAAATTGTACAATATTCAAGTTACCGTCCAACTTAAGTTCGGAAGGAAGTCGGACGGTGTAATTTTCGAGGTTTCAATTTTACAGAAATCTGACATACCATTATATTTTCCATTGGTAGGGATTTTCCTTACGACGTCACTGTGATTAAGCGATTACATTCATCATAAAACATTGTTCAATATATCCTGATGACGCTTGAGATTTACTGAGATAATGAATCGGCGGTTCATCGTTTGTATAAATCGGATGGCTCGGTGCCCACTTTGACAATTCTGCCGCGATATATTTAACAAATTTATCCGAGACGTTCCCGATTCATAATATTAACTCCTCTACACCTCTAACACCGACTTGACGAAAGGTGTCACTTGATTACATATGCATCGAAGCACGCTGCCAGCTATCGAGCGTATCTTAAGGTGAAGTGAAACACGTCGAGGAACTTGATCGACGTCGATAAAGAAGATTTTTCTAAATGCCTACGTTGCCGACGTTCGTTTTTATATTGACAGGTATGTCGGATTATATTGGATATTGTACCAAATGGCATACTCCATCTGTCGTTTTCGTACAATAATTATAAATAAATCGAAGTAAATCTTCAGAAATCCTCCGGATTCATGCTTTCTGGGGCCCTAATTGACTGCAGAGGGTCACCTTGCGCCATCTGCGATTTTCAGGTCAATTAAATTTTCACTCCGAGACGTCGTATTCCCATCGTTTTAGCATAGAAGCGCATACAACACTTTTTTTGCCTTTATCCCGTTCAAATGCGAGTTTATCGATTATCAGAGAGTTCTAAATTATCGTAAAATTGTCCTGACCCTTTCGATTCTCATATCAGAGCCTTCGATAATTGTATATTGATCGAAATATGAGAGCTCGACGCCATTTTGGTTCTGGTTTGGGTCGAGTTAAAAAATTTTTTCCAAAAATCCAAATTTTGAAGGTGTCAAGACAATTCTTAGATGATCACGTGTAATGTGTCAAAGTTTCGGACAGTTTGGTCCGATACCCTTAAAAAAAAGTGTTGTGTTCGAATCGACTGATTTGAAGAGGGTTTCACTGCTCCTTAAATGAACGAAATTTTGTTTCCGCGAGTACAGATAAGGGACGCTCCTTTCCTCCCGGGGTCCAGGTCCGAAAGTGAGCGACTTTCGCCCGGACGAGCAGGAAACCGAGTGCTGATGAGAGGAATTGAATTCGTTAAAGGCCCTCCCTCTCTCTCTTTCCCCCCCCTCCCGCCCTCCCTCCCGAGTGCACTCGAGCTCGAACGAACGTCGGCGAGGGCGACGCCGCCGGCTCGGCCGCTCAGTCTGCGCGAGACGCTCCGACCGAGAGGTTCTTCGCGGCTCTTCTCTCTTCCCGGTCTTCTGGTCGCTTGACGTTCGAATTAAATCTACTCGTGCACCCTCGTAGAGGCCTGCCTTCCGCGTTCGTTATCTCCCTTCGATCAGGAGGGAATCAAAATCGAGGGAATTTTCGAAGCGTCCTGCAGCCATTGACCGCAGACGATTCCAGGATTTCCTGAGAAATCCCAAGGAGGGAAGGAAGAGGAGAGAGTCCTGCCGGGCCACGTTCCTATACGCTCTCGAAATTCCCATCCGGCACAGATGGTCAAAGGTAACGGAGCGAACTTTTATTTTTGTTTGAACTTTTATGTTAGTATCGAACTTTATCTCTGTTGACGAATTCAAATATCGAACCTCATTGGCGGTTGCGATTCAGGGTATGTTGACAGTTTTTGGGCTGATATCCCGAGAAAAAATGTCGTTGGACCAAGGAAATATTTTGTCGAATCGATGAATATTTCATTCGAATGAATTTATGACTTCGGTATTATGACAATTCATTTGGATTTTGTTTCGGTTAAATCATTATTTTTTTATTCAACGGAATATTTCGTGGGGACTGTTCGAAGAAATATTTCTTTGGATGAATGCATTTTTCTTTTTTTTTTTTTATGAGGGTGCTGATGTGCAGGAGGAAATGTTGATTTGTGAATACAAAAGTGTAGGGTGAAATTTGAATTTCGATACTTATTGGCGGTTACGATTTAGGAAGTATTGACATTTTTAGGGTCACTATTGTTGAGCCGTTAGATGGTGATTCGTAAAGACAAAAGTGTTGGGTGGAATTTGAATTTCGATATTTATTGGCGGTTGCGATGTAGGAAATATTGACATTATTTGGGTCGCTATTGTTGAGCCGATACATGGTGATTCGTAAAGACAAATGTGTTGGGTGGAATTTGAATTTCGATATTTACTAGCGTTTGCGATTTAAGAAGTATTAACATTATTTTGGTCACTATTAATGGGCCGTTAAATGGTGATTTGTAAAGATAAAAGTGTAGAGTAAAATTTGAATGCCGACACTTATTGGCTGTTGCGATTTAGGAAATATTTACATTATTTGGGTCGCTATTGTTGAGTCGATACATGGTGATTTGTAAAGATAAAGGTGTAGGGTAAAATTTGAATGTCGATACTTATTGACGGTTGCCGTTTAGGAAATATTTACATTATTTGGATCGCTATCGTTGAGCCGATACATGGTGATTCATAAAGACAAATGTGTTGGGTGGAATTTGAATTTCGATACTTTCCTAGTAGCACAAAATATTTATCCAATATTTTCTATATATTTAACGAATATCATACATTTTNTAAATTATTGAAACTAAATATGTCATTGAGATTTTCTACAAGTATTTCAAATATCTTCGAATGAAATCTACAAGAAATCTTAAAAAGATCTGTCGCTGGAGATATTTAGCAAAGATTAGAAAGAAATATTTAGAAATTATTCTATGCTATTAGGGTTATTGGCGGTTGCGATTTATGACATATTAACGACTTATCGGGATTGCTATTAAGGTGAAGTGAAACCCCCTTCAAATGAGTCGATTCGAATACAACACTTTTTTTTAAGGGTATAGACCAAACTGTCCAAAACTTTGACACATCACTCCTGATCATCTAACAATTGTCCTGGCACATTCAAAATTTGGTTTTTTTTTCAAAAAAAATTTTCATTTGAACGGGATAAAGGCAAAAAAAGTGTTGTATGCGCTTCTATGCTAAAACGATGGTAATACGAGGTCTCGGGGTGAAAATTTAATTGACCTGGAAATCACAGATGGCGCAAGGTGTCCCTCTGCAGTCAATTAGGGCCCCACAAAGTATGAATCCAGAGGATTTCTGGAGTTTTACTTCAATTTCTTTATAATTATTGTACGAAAACGACAGGTGGAGTATGCCATTTGGTACAATACCCAATATAATTCGATACAGCTGTCAGTATTGTAGTGGTAATTCTTAATGTATCTATATAATAAGTAATATATGTAAAGGGTGAGATGGAGGGAGAAATAGAGAGAGATGAGAGAGAGGGAACCAGGAGGCTAAAAGGCCGATTTATTTTATTGCTGACTGACATTGCTCCATAACGCACACCAAAAGGAAAAGTTAAGCCCCTCTCTCTCTCTAATTGGTACTATTTGTCATTTGCGTTTTGTTCTTGTACCATTTAATTTTGTTTAATTCATCTTTCGGTTTATGTATCGTTTTATTCCAACGTAGCGTTTTATTCTTATATTTATTTATTTTTGTATTGTTATATTTTCCGTTAGAGCGATTATTTTATTATTTATTCTTTTAAGTTCGTTTCTGTATTGGTCTCGGTCTCTTTTTATTCTATTTATAATTTGCGCATCTTGTTATTTATTTATTTATTCTTGTTGGTTTAATATAGAGACCTTTTAGAATTCTTCGTTTCTCTTCATTGATTTGTGTCCTCTTTTTAAAATCCATCTCTGGAGAATATCCAACAGTTACAATATAAAAAGAAACGTTGGCAGCGTAGGCATTTAGAAAAATCTTCTTTATCGACGTCGATCAAGTTCCTCGACGTGTTTCACTTCACCTTAATGGACTATTAGAAGTTGATTTGTAAAGACAAAATTGTCGGGAGGAAACGATACGATTTGGAGTAAATGAACCTCATTAGGCTATTTTATAGATTGTATTCTAGGGCTTGAAGAAGTACTGGGAATTATTTTCAAGGCAAATGGAATAGGGGACTGCGTCGTTCCTACGTCTTCGCCTCAGGTCAGAGGTCGTCGAAGTGGATCTATTAACAACCTCCGAGGAATGAGGGGATTAATTGGGACGTACTTTTAATAGGCTTTGATTTTATGGAAGACTCTTTCAAGATTTCATACAGAAGACGAAGTTAAAAAGCGCCGTTTCCTGATTATATTCCACTATCCCGGTGTCGCGATTTTTAATGATATTCATCGAAAAGTAACGTAAATAGACAAATAACCAAGATAGGTATTAACACAGTCGCGACCGGCAAATTTTTTCCGTTTCAAATACTGAGTACCGGCGGAAATAATGAAATTCTGAAACTGGTTGTCGCAAACTTGTATCGTGTATCGTTATGGACGTGATTCACGACAGCGGCTATCAGTAATAGAATTTAAAATGACGTGAATTCACGTCAGCGGCAATGAAGAATAAAACTTGAAAAGACGTGAATTCACGTCAGCGGTCGCGAATGTGTTAAATTGAAAAAGTGAAAACTTATCGAGAAAAAAAGACTCGTTCGGCCAATGACCAATAATAGTGCGAAGAAACTGCGTAAAATGAAAAAAGACGTTTATAATCGATTAATTTCCTTAAGGGGTTACACCACTTTGACCCACCATCGTTAACCAACGATTGCAAGAGAATGCTAGCTTGTCTCGGGGCTAACACGTGTCCCTCGGTGCAAAAATGTAGTTGCAGCTAAACGTCACAGATGGCGACGTCGGTCCTAAACAGTAGTTGGAACAATCAATTCACGAGATTTCGACAGTTTTACGTCGATCTCTTCATCGTTACTTTACCGAAATGACATATGGACCGTGTCAATTCGTATAATTATCAACGTGGACTGTAAAAGACTTCAACATAAATATAAATGTCGGTAACGTGACGCGCCAACTAATGTTACCCCTTAAGTATTCAAAATGACGTTACCACCAAAAAGGTTATAGATGATGTTTAATCTATCGATCTGAATTAAATTTCTCAGCGCCTTTCATATCTTAATAATTACCTAACTAAGGCGACGCTTCGTTTCGTGTCGAACAATAGATGGCCTATTGTCAATTTACGCTGCATATTGAGATATTCCATCAAATAAGAAATGAAATATCCCGCACAGACGGTGCTTTTATTAAGACTCGTCACACATGACTGGCGATCGAACTAGAAACGATCATTCCACGCATCAATGGATATCCAGGTGGCATACTGAATTAATCGATTATACATTTTGTAATACAGAATGCCTAAGAAAAATTAACACAGCGCATGATTCGTTTCTATTCAATCGGCGCTCAGCGAGTATTAAGGGGATATGAAAATGGTATCCGAAAGCTCAATCGTTCATAAAACTTTTTTACGAACAGGGTGTCTCAAATCGTTTCATACTTTAAAACGTGAATATGGAGACTTTAAGGTAGGTCCTGAAATTCGCGAAATTTCATTTCTTATAAACTATTTCTAAAATACCTATCAACAAATTTGAAAAGGATTGAAATTTCATAAGTTTCAGGACCTTCCTTATAGTCTCCCTATTCACGTTGTAAAGTTTAAAACTATTCGGTAAATCGAATTGGGAGAAAAGTTTTATAAACAATACCTCTTTGGCGCCACTTTCACATCACCTTAAGGGGATGTGAAAGTGGCATCCGAAAGCTCCATCGTTCATAAAACTTTTCTACGGACTGGGTGTCTCAAATCGTTTCATACTTTAAAACGTGAATATGGAGACCCTAAGGTAGGTCCTAAAACTCGCGAAATTTCATTTTTTATAAACTATTATTAAAATACCCATAAACAAATTTGAAAATAATTGAAATTTCATGAGTTTCAGGACCTTCCCTATAGTTTCTCTATTCACGTTGTAAAGTTTCAAACCATTCGGTAAATCGAGTTGAGAGAAAAGTTTTATAAACAAAACCTCTTCGATGCCACTTTCACATCACCTTAAATACGGAAAATGACGTTGAGATAGGAACTCGTGAAAATGATTTAATTGATAGGAATTGGCTCATTTGATGTCGCGAAATCTCAACGAAGTATCAATCTTGATATATTATGGAACTTGACATTAAGGGGATGTGAAAGTGGCATCCGAAAGCTCAATCGTTAATAAAACTTTTTTACGAACTGGGTGTCTTCAATCGTTTCATACTTTAAAACGTGAATATGGAGACTCTAAGGTAAGTCCTAAAACTCGCGAAATTTCATTTTTTATATATTATTTTTAAAATACCCATTAACAAATTTGAAAAGAATTCAAGTTTCATGAGTTTCAGGACCTTCCTTATAGTCTCCCTATTCACGTTGTAAAGCTTCAAACTATCCAGTAAATCGAAGTGGGAGAAAAGTTTTATAAACAAAACCTCTTCGGCGCGACTTTTACATCCCCTTAACCAACCGTGCCCATAAAGGGGATAGTGGACATTTAAACGATTTCTCAATTTTCCTAGCTGTTTAATGGCCCGTTGCACTTTTGCCTCGAGCAACCGGGACACTTAATTGCTATATCACTTCTCGTAATTATAC